CATCGCTAGTAGGTTGGAGGCCATCGCTATAGTAGGTCGGAGGCATGCGTCAACCGGAGAGGCTGCAGTTGCTCGAGTTGGTCGGTCACGTGGTTTCCGTTTCAGGTCTCCCCACGTTTATTGATCGACCTCCCGGACGAGGAGCGGGAATAGTTGAGGGGCGCAGGTTTGCGGTGTATAGGGACTCAGTAGGGTTCCGATAGTTGAGGTATTCATGAGACATAGTGCCATTTGATGTTTTTTCAACCCATGGTAGTTGCAGTTGGTTTGAGGGAGCTTTGCAACAGATGTCCAAGAGCATCATGATGTCCAAGAGGTTCTGGCTTGGATCCCGATGGCATCTTCTTCATGTGAGGCCAGACCATGACACTGATGAATAAATATGAACATTTGAGGCCTTGAGTTCAGGCACCATCCTTCTATTTTGGAGAGAATAACTCCTCAGGGTTCCGAAGACACATTTGATCATTTGATGTTTACTTGAAGCGGCTGTGAGTTTCGAAGACTTTATTGTCCGTGCGCTTTGTATGATATGGCTTTGTTTTTGTAAAATGCAGGTGAGATGGATGAAGTTGCGAGTTTCCCTGTACAGATCCTTTGGACTTCAAAGAAGATCTTGCTGGCGAGGATGCTTTGGCTAGCTCTGGTAAAGAAGACAAGGATTGCGGAAAACAGTTTGGTCACACAGCTCCTTTGGTCAGACTGAAGTCTGCCAGTGGCTGTCATGGATGATTCGCCTGCAGAATGAGCCTCACCAGCTCAGACAGTGCCGCGAACAGATGAGCCACGGCGCGTCGAAAAGGTGCAGATGACCAATGTGATGATTACACCCGGGAAGATTAACATGGAGCCTGAAAATGGACCATTGGAATGCGTTTTTCCTCTACAACCCAGTGGTTTGGGCGTAATGTGTTGGGACATGGAGACCCTCACTTGGATCCCTGATAAAGTAAAGGAACAATTGGACTAGACTTTCGACTAATTTGGAGCAAATTCAAACCTTCGCACTGAGCTTGGTTTGATGCATTCCTGGAACACCTCTTTGCCGTCGTGTTCTTTTTGGGCTTCTATGCCTAGTAGCGATGCACTTGTTTCTACTAGCTTCTTGTTACTAGTAGTAAGGCACTTGTTCCTAGTAGCGATGCACTTGTTTCTACTAGCTTCTTGTTACTAGTAGTAAGGCACTTGTTCCTAGTAGCGATGCACTTGTTTATGCCTATGCTTTCATTTGCTCATTTGTGTGTTTCATTTTTGAAGATGACACCCTCCTTCCTTTCCTCCATGCGCGGACGCGGAAATACTCCTGCTTCTGACGCACCCAGCTGCAGCATCCTTTCTTTCTCGATCATCCAAGTTTGAATACTGTAACTTTCTGGTATCCAGTCCAGACCTCCTACGTCCACATACCACAGGTACAACCTCCCCGCACGAGACATGGCGCCAGATGCCGTTCCTTCCGTGGCTGTTTGGCTTGGGTAGGTTGCCTATGCTTAACACCACAGGCAGTCTTCCATTGCACATGTCCAGACCTCAGAGCCAGATCTGTTTCCAGCGGATGTGGCAAGAGTGGGCCTCCCACCTTGTTTTCATCTGTGTCGCCAGCCATTGAAATCCCAGGCGTCGATAGTGCTGCAGATCTTGCTCCGTTGTGGCCCCGGAACCAGGCACGGGATGTACAGTGAGAGTAACCACATTGGTGAAAGCCATGCAATAGGAGGATGTGTGTTGGTTGAACTATATATCATTTCTATTGACATTCACATCATAAGATTTTTTGGAACATAAAATCAATGTCTGTAGGTGTACTAGCAATTTTGTTGGCTCACTGCCAACATTCTCTACTATGAAACCTGTATTCTCTATTTTTGTTTGTCATATCTCCCTTTGAAGTCCATTTGACTCTACAGCACTATGGACAGGCCAAGGAGCGGGCAGCACGGGGCACGGGGCACAGCCCGGCGAAGTCAGGAGTTTGAACAACCGACATGTTAGTTTAACGATATTGACTTAGACAAAGGGTCAACGAGCCAACAAAAATAGTGGTTCAACAAATGAAAAGCACAAGCAACGAGCACACTACAATACAATCCACAAACATGATGCTTTCAATAGCAGGAATGAAAGATCAACTGGCACACATGTTTGATGTATCCGTACAAATGGGGACAGAAACAACCAATATGCGGTACAAAAGAAACACATCCTGTGCAGAAAACATTACAAGCGTTGCAATCGAAGACTTAGCTAATGGCAGGGTAAAGAATTGCAACGTGACGACGTTGCCCCAGAAAATCACACACACATGTAGCATATATACTGAGTATATATACATATACATATACATATATATATATGTATAAGTGATAGATATTACAGACACGAACATGATTGATGAACTCATGACAAGAAGGAGAATATTCTCCATCTTTTGCATATCATTCCAACCTTTCCAGACCCCCTGCGGTTCATGGGGACGACTGTGATTTGCGCTCCCTCCCAGGTCACCGACGGGTGGGTCGGCTATGGCCACAGGGTCCACTACTCTTCAGGCCGTTGAAACAGTCGCGGTCACTCATGCCCTTCTTACTAATAGCTTTTTGTTCCGTAGTAGTAAGTCCAGGAACCCCTAGAAGCGTCCTTGCTCCTAGTAGCGATGCCAGGAGCCCCTAGTAGCGATGTGCTTGTTCCTAAGGCGTCGGACACCGTCGACTCGACGAAAGGCGACACGACTCGAACTGTCGATGCGACAGCGGAAAAGCAGGCTGTCCATCGTCGACAAGGTATGGGGAACCATATTTTCCCTACTGGTACCAGGCGCGATCGGTGGTGGGGCCAAAGCTGACATCCTTGGGATTTATCACACCGGCAAATGGCATTCACGTTTGAAATGTACTCGCACAATAGTTCGAGTCATCAGTCATCATGCAGTTTCGTTTGACAAGACTGTACTATGTCCATTTTGTTTGCCTCGGTGAGGCCCAACCCGGCATTTGTTGGGCGCTAAGACAGCGTTATTTGTTGATTTGGACCGGAAAAAGGTTCCGGTTTCATCAAAGGGTTCCCCATTTTAGATGTTTGCATACAGAAGGTGTTTTTCCCGGCGTTTATCTGAATTCTTGGTTCATTTGGGACCTCCCCACCTGCGAAATGGACGTGTCCATCCCAAGGCGGGAGCTGGACGCGCTACCGTACGGACCTGAGCTGTGGAGAAGTGGACAGAAACATTTTCAGATTTGGCTTCATTCGACTTGGGGCCAAATCATAGCCATGGTCTATTGAAAACAGACCTCCCTCCCTCCCTCTCTCTCTCTCTTTCTTTTTGCTTCAAGACCACTGGTTGGTACGTCTTGGCTTGGCAGGTGGCCAATCCCCTGCAGTCCAATCCCTCGTCCACCAGGAGCAGATCGAGCCATGACAGATAGAGTCTTCCAGCCGGCACATGTAGAAGCTGTTTAGGTGATCAGTGATCCCCAAATAGTATACCATAATGAATCCATATAAATCCAAATTAATCATTAATCCATGCTGCGCTATATATTTCAGCATCGCCTCGCCCGTGTGCCCCCTGTCCTTCCAGGAGGAGCCTTGGATCTTCGATGCCCCCAGGGCAACGTCGGCCCACCACGCCCTCCGACTCAGCTCGGCGAGGTGGCGGAGCCGGTGAGTCGACTGGTGTGCGCTGGTGACCTTTAAGGGAATCAGAACCTGATTGGGTGGTTTAGGGGATCTTTATGTGACAGAAGCTTCCTTCTTTTTGGTGGGGTTTTCAAGATGATAATCAATGATGGTCTCCCCTAGTCAGTCAAAATGGCACATATTGTCAGATTGATATTGGGGATTCAGGCATGAATCTCAGATGATTTCGTGCATTTTTTCAACCTCGTGTTTTTTTTACATGTGACAACCAATTATGAATTCGTCTATATCTCAGATGATGATGACTGACTATCGGCCCAAGAATCAAGTCTAGAATCCTGAAGAAACCAAAGGTGAAACCATACTTTGACAAATCCCACAATCTCCTCCTTGCCACTTTGGCATTTCTGCAAAAAGCGGTCCCATCATCGCCAGATGAACTGGGTGGTGCTTCTCGTGGCTCCAACACGAGTGCCTTTGATCAAGGTGGGTGTTAAACCTGTCTCTTGATGTTGTTTTCTCCAGTGAAATCACGTAATCTAAGATGACACATACTATAGACACACATCATATGTTCACATGAACGCTCCCAAAAGCCATAATTTTTGGCATCCGGCATCGTCCTGTGGAGGCCTGTCGCGTGGAGAGGTGCAAGAACTCAGCTGCCGCGTTTGTCGAAGTTCCGATTCCACAGATGGCCACGACGCGAAATCGTCAAGCCCCCGTTACTAATTTTAGTTTAATTCTAATAGCTTCTTGTTACTACTAGTAAGGCACTTGTTACTACTAGTAAGGCACTTGTTACTAGTAGCTGTTCAGGTCCACCGATGGCCAGTGATGGATCATTTTAGCACGGATTTGTTGCCTGTGGGAAGTTGTCCAATCCAGACATTTTCCAGGCGAGTAGCACCCGCAGTCGCAGTGTGACTGGATCAAAAGCGAGGCCCAGAGCGGCGCCTGGATTTTGTTTGGATGGAGGGAACATCTCATGTAGTTTGTGGAGACCGCCAACACTTCATGCACAAATATGTAGTACAAACATGTACAAACAGGCTTTCTGGCGGAATTTCTTACAACTCTGTTTGCGGAATTCAAGCATTTCCATCCAATTGGAGTATTCTGATTGAACGACTTGCTTCAGGAGCACGGCAATTCCGCATCGCGAAGGCTGGGCATCTCAAGCATACCGAATTGGTGGCCAGATTGGGCACTTGTCACCTGGAACGCGGTTGGGGACTCCCAAGATGGAGGCTTACAAATATGATCAAAGATCCAAGAGGAGAATCTTATTTGAAGCTGGTGATCTGATGTTCTACCTCCATTATACTGCCAGTATATAATTTGGACAAGGACACTACTAGGGGCTCCTGGCATCGCTACTAGGAACAAGAAGCTACTAGCCGTACTACTAGGAGCAAGGACGCTACGAGGAACATTGATTCTGATTCATCTCCCCATTTCGGAGCTGCCAAGGCCTGAACTCCGGAGGCAGCTCTGGATCCAGCACCTGCGACAAATGCGACGGAAAGCATCCAACCGAATCGCCACTGAGTTGCACATGGCACTGGTGCGATCTGGAATATAGTGTGCGGGTTTCTAGTAGCGATAGCCTCCAACCTAATAGCGATGGCCTCCAACCTCTCCAACCTAGTAGCGATGGCCTCCCTGGATATGGTGTGTTGGTTTGGACAGGCGTGGGTCAATCCTAAACACCCTTTGGTCCATTTGGGTGCTTGACCAGGAGCGAGGGTGACCCATAGGCTCATGGCCCTCCATCGATGTGCAGTTGTTGAGAGTGGCTGTTGAATGGTGGTCCTGTTGCAAGATGCTGTCGGACCGTCGGATGGTTTTCGATACTCAGTTCTTAATGCTTGTTCAATGTTGGACAGGCCCTCACTGCATGTTCTTCCAGGTGCCCTCACTTTCGGAAAGATCGCGAGAAGCATAAAGACGCATGGGCCTGGATCTCAAATCGGGCTACATTTCCCGGCAGATTGAGCATCGTGCTTTGTCGCATCAAGTTCTCATTTACTGATACTTTTTAATCAGATTGTCTCAACCGCAAATGCACATATGTTCCTAGAAGCAAGGACGCTACTAGGGGCTCCTGGCCTTACTACTAGGAGCAAGG